AACCCATTAAATTAAACCACAACCACTAGGTGAAATCACCATTAAAATGCATCTAACCTATCAGACAAACAAACCCAACAATAATATCAACACATATTTGCTAAATCATACCCCAAGAATGGGGTTTTTTAGCCACACATCAAGAAAAAAGAAATTATACCTAAAATGATAGAGAAATAAAATGACTATAAGAAATTAAACCTTAATATAAGCAAAGAAAGAAGAATGGAGAAGACCCATTTCCAATTTGGGGAAGATGAACTCCTTCTCTCTTCAAGTCTCCTAAAAAACCCTCTCCAAACTTGAGAGAAAATAAGAAAGTTAAAGTGAAAATTACAATTTTATTTTTTTTACTCTAATGTTCCACACCACTTAAAAGTAATAAAGAGTTTATTATTTGTAGACTTCAGAAAATAGTGTTGGCGGATCACTTGGCGAGGTTAGTTACGAACTCTGAATGACTCGGCGATTCGCCCTTCTTCTAGTTCATCGTTGTTTGTCCTTTGCCGTCAGCATCTATGCATTCTGGATCATTGGGTGGTACTTATAGTTTGCGGAACTGATTGGCGAAGCGCCGACTGCTTCTTTCCTCACCATTTTGATCCTTCTCCATTAGGACTTCGCGTACTAGAACAAACGGTGGAGTGAGTCCCTTCGGCAAATCTCCAAGCATGCTTGGCGATGCTCAGGCTTCAGCTTCTACATTTTTTTCAGGCTTTTTCGTTCCAATTTGCCCCTAAGTGTCCATGCCTCTATTAAAACATCAAATACCTGAAACGTAAGTGTTTTCATCAGATTTAGACTAAATAAGCATTTGAGGACACTATTTCTGTTAAAATAAAGCCCTAAATGTGTCAAATTTGTGGACTCATCAATTAGTGAAAGTATGGAAGAGTTGGATGGGTTTGTATTCCATATTAGGGAAAATATGTGTGCTACTCAAGCTGAAAAGGCAAATTTGCCCTGTGAGCTTATAATGAAGGCTTGGAAAATGTTGAAGAATGGTTTTTTCCCCGGTCAAGGTCTTAGAGCAAAATATGATGGAATAATGGAACCAATTCAATGGCCTGGTCAGAAATAGACCTTTGCTCTTGGATACGAGCCTACTCCTGAAGAAGTCTCATCGGCTAATCTCAAAAGGAAAAGTGTCATTCGCTTACCAAAGCCTTTCCCACTTTTGAAACAGTCATTTTCCAAGGCATTCATTGAACAAGAATCACAGGAAGCTGCTGAAAATAGCCTCGTGAAAGGACTCAAAAACTTGTTCATTGAAAAAGTTTAATACAATATGATTTTGGAGGTTTACACTGAGGCCCCGACCATATGGAATGCTATGCCTGGAGATTATTTGAACAATTGACTTGTGACCCGTCCCCGGTTCTCCGGGAATCTTCGTAGATGATTGTAATAGAACTTACAAAAAAACATGATTCCAGTTGAGGCCTGAATCATGTTTTTGAACTTGATGTGATTTGCCTCCATCTTTTGAAAGCTTTAATGCCAAATCTAAGTTATGTTTTTCTTCTTTGAATTTTAAAATTTGTCCTTAATTATTTTTTTTAATTTCTTATTTTTCTCTCTTTCAGCAAGCAAACTAATAAATATGTGAAAGTTGAGAATGTGACATGTAATGAAACAAGCGAAAAAAATCCCGAACAGTGAACAATCTTTTGCAGAACAGGAAGAAGTTGTGCAACCTGACGAGTTGACTAAGGAGTTTGAACATTTTTAGAATAAAGAAAAGCCAAATTTGGATGAAGCTGAGACGATAAATTTGGGAGGTTCAGAATTAGTGAGGGAAACAAGAATTAGTGTCCATTTGACTCCGTCCCAGAGAAAAGAACTTATTGATCTTTTGAGACATTATATGGTTGTGTTCGATGATATGCCAGGTCTAAGCATGTACATAGTTTTGCATAGGTTGAAAATTGATCCCTCTTCCCCTCCCACTAAAGCAAAAGCCGAGAAAGATGAAACATGATTTGAGTTTGAAAGTTAAGGAAGAAGTCTGCAAGCTATTTGATGCCAACGTCATCCGAGTCACCAAGTATCTCTCATGGTTGGCCAACATAGTACCAGTGCAAAACAAAGATGGAAAATTCATAGTATGTGTAGAATATTGAGATCTCAACAAAGCTAGCCCGAAGGATGATTTTCCTCTCCCAAACATTCACATACTAATTGATAATTGTGCAAGGAATGAGTTGCAGCCATTTATTGATTGCGTTGCAGGATATCATCAAATTCTAATGGATGAAGAAGACGCAGAAAAAACAGCATTCATCACACCTTGGGGAGTATATTGTTATAGGGTAATGCCTTTTGGACTCAAGAATGCAGGGGTAACATATATGATAGTTATGACTACAATATTTCATGACATGATGCATAAGGACATTGAAGTTTACGTGGATGTCGTCATTCCCAAGTCACGGAAGAGCTCAGATCATATAACAGATTTGAAGAACTTCTTTGAAAGATTAAGGCGATATAATCTGAAATTGAATACTGCAAAGTTGCATTTGGTGTCACTGCAGGAAATTTGTTGGGTTTAATTGTGAGCAAAAAAGGGATAGAATTAGATCCTTCAAAGATAAAAGATATTCAAGACTCGCCTCCTCCAAAGAGTCAAAAGGATGTAATGAGTTTTCTTGGTCGTCTCAATTACATTTGTCGATTTATTGCACATTCAACTTTTATTTGTGAGCCAATCTTCAAGTTGTTGAGTAAAGATGTTGCTACCAAGTTGACGGAGGATTGTCAAAAAGCTTTTGAAAGAATCAAGGAGTATTTTTATCTAGTCCACTGATTTTTGTGCCCCTAGAATCTGGAAGACCATAGTTGTTGTATTTGTCGGTGTCTGATAATGCATTTGGATGTGTGGTGGGACACCATGATGAAACATGAAAGAAGGAGCATGCTATATATTACTTGAGCAAGAAGTTCACTCCTTATGAAGCTCGGTATACTTTATTGGAGCACACTTGTTGTGCCATTACTTTGGTTGCACAAAAGTTAAGTCAGTACTTATGTGTGTATACCACTTTTCTCATCTCAAGGATGGATCCGCTCAAGTATATCTTTCAGAAGCGTATTCCTACTGGGAGGTTGGAGAAGTAGCAAATTTTTCTATGTAAATTCGACATTGTTTATGTCACTCAAAAAGACATCAAGGGAAAAGCGCTAGTTGATCATCTAGCTGAAAACCCTATGGATGAGGAGTAAAAGCCTCTTAAAACTTATTTTCCAGATGAAGTGGTTTTATTTATTAGAGAGGATATTTTAGAAGAATATCCAGGGTGGAGAATGTTTTTTTATGGTGTTGCGAATTCTAAAGGAGTCTGTAACACCCCAAAAAAATTTTGAGCTAAGACTTGAATGATCCTTCATAGTGAGTAAGTGTTTACCAAGGAATTTAAATTTTTCCTAAGTGTTAATGTCACTAGATGTAGCACCTTCTGTTCCAAAAATAACTAGAGAGAATTCATTCAAATCATTACCATAACTCTTATTAAAGAATGAGTTAGGTGGGCTACAAGGTATCAAATTAAAGGTGTTGGAGTCCTCTTTCCAATGCCACCAAGTTTGGTAATTTTTGAGTTTGTATGAGGGATATATGCCGTTTAAAGTCAGGCTGTCTATTTAAGGAAAGTTACCCAAAAATAGGAGGGATATTTTAGTCTTTTCCTTACCGCCACTTATTCTAAACATGAATTCCACCCAATTAAGGGTCTAAACTGATTAGAATTAGTTTCATTCATTCCCATAAGCGTTTAGCATTTTAGAGAGAGAATTCAAGAGGACAAAAACTTCAAAGTTTCAAGCATTCGTTCAAGAAATTCAAGATTTCACCAAGAACATAGTTCTTTGTGGTATGTAGGCTTTCATAGTGTTGGGTTTGTTCACCCACACGCCAATCATGAGTTTCTTTTGCGAATCTATCCATAAATATTGAGCAATTTAATTTCTTGATGAGTTCTTCAAGTTTCCTTATTGATTAAGTTTTGATGTAAGATTCTACTTGGGTCAACTTCAAACGACCATATCCCTTAGAATATAAAGAGTTACGTGAGCCATAACCTATCAAATTAAAGGTAGTTAAATCTACTATCCAACGCCACCAATTTTGCTTCAATCCAATTTCTGAGTAAAAAGTTATGACCATTTTGGTAACCTGATATAGTGTTGTTACGAATTAGCAGACGGAAAAACATTTTTGTGTTTTTACCTCCAAGAAAACCCTAAAAGAGTTCTTAACTAATATAATGCTCAAAACAACCAGATTTTCATCTAATCCATCATTATCTTCTCTCTGAAACCCTAGGGCAAAACCCTAAGGAAAAATCAAAGTAGAAGACTCCATTCAAGATTCTTTCAATCATTTTCAAGATTGTTCTACAAGGTAAGTCTTTCTCCAAGAATTTCATTCTTTTCAACTCAAATTCCTCCATACAATTATGAATCAGTAATGAAAAGCATAATTTTTTGTCATAGAGATTTCAAGAAACTAATTCAAGAATCTCAAAAAAGGTTTTTTTTAATTGTTTACCTTCAAGCTAGGGTTTCAAGGCTTATAATCAAGGTATTCTTCATGATTCTTCAAGAACCTTGTTCTTCTAGGTATGTAAGGTTAGTTTTGAGATGTCATGCGTCTTGTCCCGATATCTTTCTGTAATAGTAGAGGCTTCATAGATAGACAGAGTTGAAGAGTTTTATTTATTTACTTTCTTTTGAGTATTGTTCAGACTTTCTTAAAGTTCACTAATGGAGTTCAATGAATTTAATTTAGTTTTTAGCTTATGTATGCTTGAGTTAGTCTTTCGCTTGTAGCCAGTCAGGATAGGAGTTCGCTTGGAGACCATCAATGATTTTCGAGTGCCGGCCACGTCCAGGGTGTAGGCTTGGGTCGTGACATAGTCGGTGCTGGAGACTTGCTAGTTTCTGAATCAGGTCAACATTATGCTATCTCAACAAAGTTTAGATTCCTATGAACCAATAATATGGCAGAGTACGAGGATTGTGTTTTTTGTCTCAAAATGGCTATTGATATGAACATACATGAATTGTTGGTTATAGGTGATTCATACTTGTTGATTCATCAGGTTCAAGGTGAATGGAGCACCAAGAATGTGAAGATACTTCCAAATCTGCTCTGTGTGAAAGAATTGTGCAAGAAATTTGTCAAGATAGAATTCAAGCATATTCCTCGAGCTCATAATGAGTTTGTAGATGCTTTGGCAACCCTGGCTTCTATGATTCAACATCTAGATAATATATATATATATATATATATCCAACCAAGGTCAATGTGCAGGATCAGCCAGCCTATTGTTTCCTTATAGGTGAAGAACCGAACAGAGAACATTGGCACCATGACATTAAGAAGTATATTGGGGAAGGAGAATATCCGGAAGGCGTAAAACATGTTCAAAAGGGGACACTTCGAAGACTCGAGAATCACTTTTTCCTAAGTGGACAAATTCTTTATAGGACTCCAGATTGGTGATTATTAAGGTGTGTTAACTCCCAAAAGGCAAGCAAGTTGATAAAGAAATGAATGGGGGTACATGTGGGCCACACATGAATGGTTTTACATTAGCAAAGAAGATTCTACGAGCTGGATATTTCTGGATGACCATGGAAACAGACTTAATTTATTTTATGAGAAAGTGTTGTTAATGTCAAATTCATGGTGATTTGATTCGGGTTCCACCAAATAAGTTAAATGTGACGAGTTCTCCTTGTCGTTTGCAGCTTGGGGTAAGGATGTCATTGGCCCTATTGAGCCAGCTGCATCAAATGGATACATGTTCATTCTGGTAGCTATTGATTACTTTACGAAGTGGGTAGAAGCATCTTCATACAAGTATGTGACAGAGAAGGTGGTGACAGATTTTGTTTGCAATAACCTCATTTGTAGATTTGGGATCCCTGAGTCAATTATTACAGATAATGGAGCTAATCTCAATAGCGGCTTGGTGCATGAGATATGTGAGAAGTTCAAAGTTTCACCGCAATTATACTCCTTATCGACCTCAGATGAATGGAGCAGTTCAGGCAGCCAACAAAAATATCAAGAAGATATTGAGGAAAATTATAGATAACTACAATAATTGGTATGAGAATTTGCCATTTGCCCTTCTTGGCTACCGCACCACAATAAGGACTTCGACTGGGGCAACACCTTATCTTTTGGTTTATGGGACGGAAGCAGTGTTACCAATGGAAGTTGAGATGCCATCTCTGAGGATTATCCAAGAAGCTGAGTGAGGTGATGCCAAACGGATGCAAAATCGCTATGAACGGTTGATGCTTATTGATGAAAAGAGAATGAATGCAGTTTGTCACGGGTAACTTTATCAACACAGGATGGCCAAAGCTTTTAACAAGAAAGTAAAATTGAGACACTTTGAACCGGGACAATTGGTGTTCAAGTGAATATTCCCACACCAAGATGAAGGTAAGTGAAAGATTGCACCTAACTAGCAAAGACCTTATATGGTTCACCGAGTACTGACCGAATGAGCTTCGATTCTAGCACAAATGGATGGTAAGATATGGCTGAAAGCCATCAATGCGTATGTGGTTAAGAGATACTACATCTACAAGTTTCTATTTCATTTTCATGTAATCTTTTTGTCATGTATTGGAAGTACGTCTTGACCTGATTCCCATGGCGGGATACGTAGGAAATCCACATCGAATTTGGTCTCCTAATAGGCTTTGAAAATGTACCCTTTCTATGTAATATGAACTACTCTTTGCCTGATACACTAGGTGGGATACATAGGCGGCCTATATTATCTTCGGCCCCTTTATTAGAAAATTTTCATATCTCTATTTGCTTTGTATGTAGCGAACTACATATGGCCTGATTCCGTTTGGATACGTAGGCAACAACCCAAGGAGGGTTTTGTCCCCTTTATTTTAGTTTTAAATTTATTCATAGTTTATGTTTGGCTTGATGCCCTTGTTGAAATAGTAGGCAACTTATAGAAGGTTTGGTATCATCTTGACCAATGAACAACATATCTCTTTTCGCCAAAATCTAGGACAGTTTTTAAGGGCACCATAACAAAAAGATATCAAGAGATTTGAAGAGTATATGGTCAATCAAATCATCCAACAGAAGAAAGTCTTCAGATAAAGGACGTTCACTTTGTTTCACGACATGTCACAATTTGAAGTTCGAAAGAAATTCTTTATTACTGTATATACGTATATAATTTTATCTTATTTTTAAATATGATTTTCAATCAAATGATTTCCTGTTATTTATTTCCTTGTTATTCATTAAACAAGATTTAGAATAGGCTGAGGTTACGAGTCCAAGCAAAGCTGGAAGAAAGAATTACGAAGAGCCAGACCTTCAAAGTCAACGCGAATCAACCTCGCACAAAACTTATAATTTTTCTTTGACACTAGATTTGTCATGATTAGCGGAAGCTGAAAGATCAATAACGTCTATAGCATCGAAAAGACTATATGTCGAGTTGTTTGAAATACTTACTTATAAATTTATGATTCAAAAACTTAGAAGTAAAGCTTTACAAAGGTTTCAAAATGTGTTGATAAACAAATATTTTTAAACGCATTGCATATGGATTTGCTCTGCATAAATATCTTTAAATGCACTGCACAAAAATGCTTTCAAATATTTTCAAACGTGTTGAATATCTTTAAATGCACTGCACAAATGCTTTCAAATATTTTCAAACGCACTGCACAAATAATTCGAAATATTTTTAAATGCACCACAAAAATGCTTTTAGATGCTCCACATAAATTCTTTCAAATATTTCCAAGCGCACTGCACAAATGCTTCCAGATATTTTCAAATGCACCGCACAGATGCTTTATATGTTTCGCATTAATGCATATTTTAAAATGCACTACACAAATGCTTTCAAGTATTTTTTTTAAAAAATGTACATGGCTTTCGGTCGCTCTCTAATGTATTGCACAAATGTGTTTAGTTTATTGCACAGATGCTTTCAAATATACTTGACAAATGCTTTACCAAAATACATTTGTTTCAAAGACTTCCTTTTCATACAACACCATGCTTAAAAAGTCTCATTCTTAAATCATTTGGCTAAAACCCTCATATCAATTTTTTATTTTATTAAGGCCACAATTTCATTAATCATCGTTGAAAAGCACCATTGCTCATGAATCATCGGCCTCAAACCCTTTTTCCATAAATTTTGTAAGATTTTATAAAATCATTTCAGCTTGCAATACCACATTTTCATAAAATCACACCCATGAGATGTTATTTCCGTGTATTTATCGCACCTTACCTTATATTTAATATTATTTACTAATTGCCTTGCCAAGTTCGAGTTCCGCAGAAGCTTTAGCACAACGTGGAACTATTTCTAAGCAATGAACTGGAGCAATTTGATGGAGATTCAAACTGACCAACAGAGGTCAAGGGTCTACCTCAAAATTGACCCCCAAATACTCTCCTTATTCATAATACCAAGTAACATCACAATTCAACATTGGGAAAAAAATTTAACCTCACATACCCTTGCTTTCAAAATCCTCTGGCTCATAATTTATCTAGTGCCCATATCTTTTCTAGCCTCATAGGTCATAGTTTTTGGTTGGGACAAAATTGGCTAATACGTCAACTTCTTTGGCCAAAAACTTTTACATCGTCTCTGGTCAAAGAGGAAAAAGTTGTTGACACCCAATTTTGACTCTCCTTTCGTCTAATTTATTGCTTCGAGCTTCTAATTTAATAACGTATCAAATTATCCTTTTTCACAAATACCTTTTACTACTACTACTATTTATTGTTACTATTGTTGTTATCGTTGTCATGTTTTTAACTATTATTTAAACTATATGTTTTATTATCGAAATTACTATTATCACTTTTATACCTCTTTTTCTTAAATAATGAATTTATCGTCACCTTATTTCAAGATTTTATACGTATGTAATTAACTATAAATCCATACTTTTGTATCTATCCTATATTAGCGTAGAATCGTAATGGTGATATTTTGATTTTATAAATTATTAATTGTCATCTTATAGTATTGGTTATTAAGTTAGAAGCCCAAAAACATTTTAAACGACGAAAGTAAAAGCCCAATACAGTCACACCAAGTAATCAACCCATCTTTCTTATAAAATTTGTCTGAAATCTAGCCTTTGAATGGCCCATTTTCGCCCATTAAAACAGCCCACTCTCCTTTCAAATAAACCTAATATCATTAGATACTAGGTTCTATGTGGCGCCGTTGTTCCTTTTTCTCTTCAGGTAAAATTTTCAAATGCTTTCTCCATTTTAAAGATGCTTAAGGCACTATTTTTGTGCAAATTTTTGAAGGTACAGATGCGTCTTCATCCCCCTTTTCCCATTTTATGTTTCAACGATGTCCAATTTCTTCATTTTACATATGCTTAAGGCACCATTTTTGTGCAAATTTTGGAAGCTACAGATGTGTCTTCATCCCCCTCTTCCCATTTTATGTTACAATGATGTCCATTATCAAAGGAACAGTAAAAGCTTTCCTATTTCACGTATAGTTTGAAGCGTGTCTGGTTGTTACTGTTCAAATCAGATGAAGGCTCACAGTTCGTCCATTATTGTCAACGTTCAGATTCAAAGTGTGGAAGAAGTTTGAGAAAAATCAAAAATTCCGCCCAAATCTTATCTTGTTTTCATCTATAAATACACATTTGTATCTTCAGCTTTAACCAAGCTTTTAAGACCCTCGAAATACCCCATCTACTCTCGAAATACCCCATCGTTTTACTATTTGTGGAGGAGTTGTAGATTTGAGACCTCCAAGCTCCAGTCACTGCTCCTTAGAAGGTAATACCTCCTCCATCATTTACGTTTTATTTCGATTCCAAGCGTTATGTGTTGAACCTGTTTTCGGTTGGATTTCCTCGACCTCATTCTCGTTTTCTTCTCTATTTTGACTTCAGTACTTTTTATTGAAAGTTTGTTTGGTTCGAAGATGAGTTTTTCAGGTTTATTTCTTTCGTTGTTTGAACCTCTAACTGATCATCATGTTATTTGTTTCATCGACTTAACCAAATGTATGGATTCTGATTGGTAACTACTTAATATCGGCTTTCCTTTGTTCGTCTTGCTTTGGTTCTCATGCCAAATATGTCCTCAAACATCAGCGATATTCCTTTGATATTATTTGTTGGTCGTTAGATTCGACAACTCAATTATATATCCATGATTCTAGTTAAATCTCAGTTCTACTTTGTTCAGAATGGTCTAAGGTTCATGTGGTCTCAATTGTGAGTGTGCCGGTTGTGTCATTTGGATTATTCGCTGTATGGTTAGCTTTCATCAGTGTGATATGAAAGTGGCCGCAGCCTTGGCTGTTCACCTTTTTTCTCCGTCATTGTTACAAATTCTTGTCAATATTAGTTTGAACTGGCCTAATAGATATGTCTAGCTTCTCTTCTTGTTTAGTCGAAATAGTGTTTGTCCCTCTTTGGATTTCCACTCATGGAAGAATGCTTATAACTCTATCACTGTAAGATGTTTATTTAACTAAGGTTGCTCCTGTTTTTCCAGAGATTGACTTTTTTATTCTTTTCTAATCAGAAAATATAAATGAACTTATCAAGTTGTTTATCCTTAGTTCTGGTTCTTTTTTTTTAAAATTTAATGTCTTGGCCATTGAATGAGTTTAAATTAGCATGGTATAAAAATTCCTCTTTGAACCTTCAAATTTAGTTTACATCGTTTAGTCGACTATGCTCTTATTCAGCTTAGAACGCCTGCCCGTTTATTCTGTAGTTTCGATAGGTTGAAAGCATGTGAAACTATGAATGTCCATCCATCCTTTTGGCTTTTTTTTTTCTTCAATTTCAGTATGATTTCCACAGTTGCTAGGAATATCATACACCTAGAATATCACGTCTAAGTTGAATAACTAGTCTCTATATTTTCCCTCTGTAATCTCTTTATTGAAGTCCTAACATGCTTCTAATCCTTAGGAAATCAATAATTTTATTGAAGTTGCTTCTTCCTTTCATGGCTTAAAACAAATTTTTTAGGGACTACAATGATTAAATTTTGGGAAACAAAGAGTCTGTTTTCAGCATTTTATTGATCTTGAACTTTTTCCGAACTATTATATATGTTTCTTTTTTTGCTATTCATTTTTATTTCTTTTTTTGCTATTCATTTTTATTTAACTAACTCATTTTTCTTTAGTTAGATTCATTGTTTTATTGTGTTTATCTTTATGTGCTTGGTAGATTTTGGTATAGTTTTAGGT